GTCACATCTTAGTTGTGGAACAGGGCCTCTTATTGCAATCAGAACCCAAAGAGCGTTCATGAAAGCATCAGTTGATAAGTCGTCAAGGGTTTCAATGTGCACAGCTCGTGAACATAAGCAGGTGAACAATAATCCATATCTTTTGACTTCCTTTCTTCCTTCCTTTACCATGAATGGACCAAAACAGTCAACACCGCAATATGTAAAAGGAGGTGCCGTTCTTGTTCTTACTTCTGGTAACTCTGCCATCTGTTGGACATTTGTGGTCTTTCTATATCGCCTACATTTAACACAGTGGTAAATGTGCGAAGAAACTATACTTCCACAGCCTAAAATCCATATGCCATTTCAACGTGATTCATTTATGGTCATGCCTCTTCCTTGATGATGTACACGTTCATGGTAGTATTTAACAAGCAGGGCTGATACATGGGACTCCTTAGAAAGAATTGCGGGATGTTTTTGACATGATGATGCAAGGCTGATTGGGACAATCTTCCACCCACCCTGAGAACATCGGACTTGTCCAAGAAAGCATTTAGCTGCTTTAGTTTGTCTTGTTTGTGCAGAGGATTTTCCTTCTGAGATCTGATTCTCTGTATTTCCTCAGTAAAAGCTTCTCTTTGCGCTAACTTGATAATGAACACTTCTGAGCCTCTTCTCTCTTAAAGATCTGTTGTTTCGTTTGTTCTTTCTTAAACACCTTTAAACTCTTTTATGCATCGTTTGAGCCTGGCAATAGGCTTTACAGCTCTCAAACAATCAGAAATCTTCATGACCTGCACGGAGTTCAGGATCTGTCTCTTTAACTTCTCCCACCATTTCCGCCTTGATTGGAAGATCTTTTTCCAAAGGAAATCTGGACCCTTCAACCAGTTTGATTCTTTCAGTTGTGCAGCGGTTAAACCCCTTGAGGCCGGATCAGCTGGATTTTCTTCTGAGCTGACATGCTGCCATTTTCAGGACTTGTACTTTGTCTTATTTGTTGAATCCGATTGGCAACGAATGTGTGAAATCTTTTAGCATCGTTGCTTATATATGCCAATACTACCTTAGAATCCGTCCAATAATATTCTAGTAGATTTTCAATTTCCAGTTCTTGTTCGATTACATCCGCGTTTCGGACTGAAGTTACAGCCGACGACTATTCGAGTCTTGGGATGGTCATTTGTTTGATGGGTGTAACTCTCGCTTTTCCCATGATGAGTGAACAGCTTATTTGTCCTTCCTTGCTAATTGCTCTAAGGTATGAACATGTGCCGTAATCATTGAGGCTCACATCCGAGAAGTTATGCAATTTATACTGTGTGATGTTGACATCTTGTGAGTAGCTTCATGGGATCTTCAGAGCTCCCAGCTTAGGCAGGTCTCTCAACCATACTTCCCATTGTGGTAGAATGTGATCTGGAAGATCATCATCCCAGCTAACCTTGTCTTTGCATAATGTTTGGAGTATTCTCTTTCCAATCACTGTGAAAGGAGCGACAAACCCAAGTGGGTCATAGATGTAAGCGACAGTCGGGAGTACCCCTCTTCTGGTCAATGGGTTGTCCTTAACTTGAACCCTGAACTGGAATTTGCCGGCTTCTATGCACCATGTATCCCAATCTGGAGTTCTCCAAAAGCCATGTTTTGATATTTGGCACAAACTTGTGCAGATGTAAGTTGCCTGTTTTGCAAAGTTCCCTTGACTCTTTGACCAGCTGTATAGCTTTGGCTGTTGATGTCACACCAGCAAGTCCATCATCGACATAAAACCCCCTTTGGATGAAGTCAACGGTCTCTTTGCTGAACTTGTTTCTACATTGCGATGTAATGTGCTTGAGTCCAAAGTTACAACATCCAGGAGATGAGGCTGCTCCGAAAAAATGTACTTTCATCCTGTAAACTGAGAGTTCATATCACCCTCGTCTTACCAAAGAAATCTTAAGTAATGTTGATGTTCATTAATGACATGGAATAGGTGGAACATTCTTTCCACATCACACATAATGGCAACGGGGCCCTTTCTAAATCGGCATAACACTCCGACCAATGTTTTGGTGAGATCAGGTCCAGTCAAAAGATGATCATTAAGAGATGTTCCATGGAAGAGTGAAGAACAATCAAAAACTACATGTATTTTTTCTGGTTTGTGGGGAATGTAAACCCCGTGATGCGGGATGTACCATGCTGTCTTGTTGTCCAGCTCTTGTTTTGGCACCTTCTCTGCATCTCCGTGAGATATAATATCATTCATGAACTTGACATAATCTTTATAGTATTTCTCATCCCTTTTGAGTCAACGTTCCAATGCAGACAATCTGTGTTCAGCACTTTGCTTGTTATTTGGGAGATTTGAATTGTCTGTTTTAAATGGTAACAGGAGTTCGTAATTACCACCTTTCTTCTGTTTTATGCCTTTGGTCACCTTTGACAAGAACAAAATGTCTTCCTGTGAAACTGGATTGTCAACTTTATCTGGACCATTCTGATACTAGCAGCAGTTTGATGGATTCAGGAACCAATGTGATGAAAATGATCAAATGAGCAACATCTATCATGTTCTTGATCTACATTTATTCACTGATGTTTTACCAGATACTTAAAGCAACATTGAAAATATAGAAAACACCAGAAACCTTCTGATGAGGTTAAAGGAGAGAGAAACAGGAGGAACACAGAATAACTGATCTGAAGACTTTCTATGTCAGTGAAGAAAAACAGTGACTCAGACTAACTGATCTAAACAGAACAGGAGGTTCTAGTAGGTGATGACATGATTCTTCATGGGGGGTCCAGGTGAGTACAGGTGAGCTGCAGGGGGCGGGGCATCTTGGTCAGGAAGTCTCTGTCTCCTCTGTTGAATCTTCTGACCTCTGATAGAAACACAGAAACAGATCAATCAGATCAGGATCAGCAGCTTCTGCTGAGGGTCTATGGAGAGCGGTTACCGTGGCAACCACATTTAAAAAAAGTAATAAAAAAAACAATCCACTGGACCAAGGTTTTAGACATTTCCCATCTGGGAAGCTTTTTCAATCTAAAGATGGCGGCAGGAGGAACCCTTTGATGTTCCTCCCCTTTCCATCTGCAGAATACCAGAGGCAGAGAAACAGTCAGGAAACGACTTTAACCAGATAGTGACCTGAACACCAGGACTGATTTCTCTGGACCAGATCTGGACCCTGCTGGACCTTTGCCTTTCTATCCATTTCAAGTTAAGGAATAATTTCTGCAGACAGAAGCATGGTTCAGTCATGGGATCTCCTGTCTCACCAATTATAGCCAATCTTTGGACGCCTTCAGAGGAACATCACCAAGCCACTGGTTTAGATACGTGGATGACACATTGGTCAAAATCCAGCTAGAGGAAGTGGAAGCTTTCACCAAACACATCAACTCTGTTGACCATAATATCCAGTTCACCAGAGAGGATGCAGAGGACAGCAAACTACCCTTTCTGGACTGCCTGGTGAGCATGGAAGGAGATGGAAGCCTGAACATTGAAGAGTATAGAAAATCCACTCCCACAGACCAGTATCTTCTTTCTGACTCACACCCCCCACTGGAACACAAGCTCTCAGTCAACAGAACCTTCCAGCAGCGGGCAGAACATGTCCCTACTAGAACAGAAGCACAAACAACAGAAACACATCAAAGATGCTCTCCAAACCTGTGGAGACACAAACTAGACGAAATTCCAAAGAAATGCAGCAGAACATAACGGTGAGAAAATTAAACGCTAAAACATCTCATTCCCAGATGTTGCAGTAGTCTCTGAGGAACTCCAGAGGATTTTCTCCAAACATAAAATCCCAGAACATTTCAAACCAACCAGACCCTGAAACAGAGACTAGTTGATCCTAAAGACCTAATCTGAGCAGAGTGTCTGCAGCTCAATGCAGGGAGGAATGATCTGATCTTTATGTTGGAGAAACCAAACAACCTCTCCACAGACGCATGGCCCAACACAGGAGAGCGCCCTCCTCTGGACAAGACTCTGCATCTACACCTGATGGACAAAGGACATTCTTTGGAGGACCAGAATGTTCACATTCTGGACAAAGAAGACAGGTGGTTTGAGAGGAAGGAAGCATCTATGTTAAGAAAGACAACTTTAAAGGGGGGGGGGGCACTCAGATTCCAGCTTTCAGAAACCTCCAAAGCAGCGATAGAGTTGATTCCTTCTACTGATACTTCAGCGATAGTATCTAGGTGTTACGGTATTGTATAACTTATATCATGTCTGTTGGTTGTTCTGTTCTTTTTCCATCTCTTTGCAGGTGATGAAGCAGAATGAAAATGTTTTATCATTATCTCCCTTTTATCTCCTCTTTCTTTCATCTTTTCTCCTTTTTATCTGTTTTTCCTTTCCTGTTCTATTTACATTGCAGTGTCCATATAATTAGTAAAACTCCACACATAATTATAATAAAGCTATTTATATGCATAAATCAAGCGGATCACTAAAATCTGTTGGGCTCTTTTTGGCATCAAGACAATTATTCTTATTGCCACATTGCCAGACAGGACAAAAGGAGTTGATTCCTTCCTGCCATCACAGCAACCCCCACGCCCATGCAGGGGACCAGAACATCTCCTGAGCTATCTCTATAGTTCTGCTGCTATAGGCTTAGACTGCTGGAGGACATAGGGACCCCTTTTTCATCATTCTGCTTCATTCTATCTC